GGGGCCGGGCCCTAAAAGACCCCAAATGTCAGTCCCCAGGTCTGGCTCCAAGCAGCTGCTGAGGTCTGCAGGCATGGCTGTCTGGGCCAGAGGGCACAGTGCAGGACCGCAGCAACTTCTGTGCTGGAACCTTGCCGTGACTCTGAACACCCGCCAGGACTGATTCTTTCTATCTCACACGAGTCGGGACAGAGAGACATGAAGGACACTCAGAGAAGAAACACCCCACAGAAGAATTCCAAGCCCTCAAAGACTGCTTTTGGCCTGATAGGAAAGGCATATTGTGAAAAAGGACAGTTCAGAGTGTGGACGATCAGAAGTGAAGGAGAAGTAGTTCCTGAGAAACTTCTTTGAGAACCTCTCTGTCCCATGCGCTGACCCAAAGAAAGCCAGCTTTGGTTTGGAACGCAGTTAAAAATGCAGAAAATGTGGTTAGATACAGCTCAATCCTTGTCCCACTGATGGCTGGAAAGAAAACGGTTTCTATATCCAGCTGGGATCTTTCTGCTCCACAAACGCGGGGCGCCAGGCGTGAGAAGAGAAGCTCGGATTGGTGGAAACCCGCACTTTGGTCCCCGGAAGCCGGTCAGCACGGAGCTGGGAGGAGTGGGGACCGCCCTGGGCCTGGGAGCACAAGGCGCGCTCTGGAGAGGGTAGGGTTCAGCACCTCGAACAGCGGTCGCCACCGCCTCTCCCCTCCCAGGCAGCCCGGGGTCCCTCCTCCTCCCTACCCCCTCGTCTCCCCCTGGAGTCTGAAGGTGGGCAGTGACGGCCCCTCCCTCGCGTTCGTGCTCTACTGAGCGGAGGGGCCGCCATCCCCGAAGTCCGGGCTTCAGGACCCAGGTCGGCAGGGCAGGCTGCGAGGGCGCGTGGATCCGGGCACCAGAAAGCCAGGATCTGGACATGGCATTGCTGTGCAGCCTTGGGCAAGTCACTCTCCGCCTCTGGGTCCCACTTCCTTCCCAGTCCAAAAAATGGGATTGGATCCTCGCAGCGGGGGCATTCCTGACCTCTCTATTACCCCATCTCCTAAATCAAACCCCGAGGGCTTTTGTTCTGGCACTTCCACAATTCTGAATAACAAAAGACGCCCATTCCGGGGACCAAAGAGCTCGGACTCCCTACTGCCAAGTGTCCCTCCTCCCCCGCCCCCACTCGCCTGACTCCACGTGCCCCACTGGGTGGCCGGAGAGGCGGAGGTGGCTGTGGTGGAAATGGCTCATCTGCTCTCTGCTTTCTCTGTTTCTCAGGAGCGGCGGCATGGAGGCTCTCACCACTCAGCTGGGGCCGGGGCGCGAGGGCAGCTCTTCGCCCAACTCCAAACAAGAGCTGCAGCCTTACTCGGGCTCCAGCGCCCTCAAACCCAACCAGGTGGGCGAGACGTCGCTGTACGGGGTCCCTATCGTGTCACTGGTCATCGACGGCCAGGAGCGCCTGTGCCTGGCGCAGATCTCCAACACTCTCCTCAAGAACTACAGCTACAATGAGATCCACAACCGCCGCGTGGCCCTGGGCATCACGTGCGTGCAGTGCACGCCGGTGCAGCTGGAGATCCTGCGCCGGGCCGGAGCCATGCCCATCTCGTCGCGTCGCTGCGGCATGATCACCAAGCGCGAGGCCGAACGCTTGTGCAAATCTTTCCTGGGCGAGCACAAGCCACCCAAGCTGCCCGAGAACTTCGCTTTTGATGTAGTGCACGAGTGCGCTTGGGGCTCCCGCGGCAGCTTCATCCCTGCGCGGTACAACAGCTCCCGGGCCAAGTGCATCAAGTGCGGGTACTGCAGCATGTACTTTTCGCCCAACAAGTTCATCTTCCACTCTCACCGCACTCCCGACGCCAAGTACACCCAGCCGGACGCCGCCAACTTCAACTCTTGGCGCCGTCACCTCAAGCTCAGTGACAAGTCGGCCACGGACGAACTGAGCCACGCTTGGGAGGACGTCAAGGCCATGTTTAACGGTGGCACGCGCAAACGGACCTTCTCGCTACAAGGAGGTGGCGGAGGCGCTAACGGAGGATCGGGCGGGCAGGGGAAGGGTAACTCCGGGGGCGGCGGCCCGGGCTGTGGCGCCGAGATGGCCCCTGGCCCACCGCCCCACAAA